AATAAAAATTACTTTATTGATAACAAATGTACACCAATGTGTTATATTTTTCATGTGGAATCTACATCCTCTATCTACATCCTCATTGTATTAACAATGACAATGAGTAACAGTAAGGATTAATGGTAATTATTATAATGAACATCATTAGAAAATGTACAAATTTTTTCAAGCACGTTTACTATCTGCAAACGCTCGTACAATACTGCCAACACCACTGATATTGTATACCTTTTCATGCCAGGTTAATAAATGACTACTACTACCCTCCGTTGGAATTTCAAATCCTCTGTATATATATTTCATTAAAACATCCAGCAAGTCACGATCTAATTGTGCTAAGCAATCATCTATTTGAGTAGATTTTATACTTAGAAGAACTTTTAACGTCAGATTCCTTGCGTTATCCTGTAATATATCATCACTATTGGCTTTTGCAAAATCACATATATGTAGATTATACAAAATAAAGATTATGTCTTTTTAATAAAATAAAATCAGTACGCATTTTCATTTCGTTAAATACTACATTATGAAACATATTTATTACATAAAACATATACACAATTCATAGCTCATGAAAGCATTTGAACACTTACCATAAAAATCTTTTATGTATATATTGTATGTGTCATATAAAACATTTTGAAATTTTACTAACACTATAATCAGACATGACTATCCTGATTACACTGGTAAAATTTGATATCAACTTGAAAGAGTATATAAAAGTTACAATATATTGATTGCAAACATATATTTAATAAAAAATTAATACACAGCATGAATAGTCATTTTAGAAGCTTATTAATATTATGGATAATTGACTGTTTAAATACATTTATCATTATCATAAAATATATATATACTTGCATTAAATATCTTATGGCTTTCATATACATTTCTAGGTTTGTTTCAAACTTTACAAACATAACTATAATAGCTAGATCTCTTTACAGTGTAAATAAAATTTTTAAATGTTTCCTATAACATATATAATATATTCATGAAAGGTTTTTGCAAGTGTACAAATATTTTTATAAGATAATGTACATATAATATATTGTCCCCTTTATGGTAAAACTATCATTGTGTAAATTATTGTGTTGTTATAACATGATAAATGTAGTATAATGGAAAATATTATATCCGAATATCTTGATTATTATATGTTCAATTGTGAATTTTTGTAATCTATGAAATTATGTATTCATGATATTAATATAAAAGGAACAATATATCTTATACCACATATACTAAAGTGTACTTTAGAACGATAAAAATAAATTTCATCATGTCATAAACTTGTATGTTAAACGCTGAAGTAAAGGGCGTGTTTCTGAGGTTACCTTTACTTGTTGATTTTTACACCCAAGTGGTGCAGACCTCAATACTGATATCAGTGCTTCTGCATTCTTACCCTTGAATAAATATTAAGGAAAATGCGATGAAACATAAGAAAAATCACTGTAACGTTATTATATCTATATAATAGCGATGAAAAGGATATTGGCTAAGAAGTGTCAAAATTTCATTTTCATCTGGGCCTGTAGGTCCTCCTATTCCTCCGTCAGCGTCTTCTTCTCTGAAATTATTATCACTGTATTGATCAACATCGATTTTTCGAAACGCTGACGCTGACGAATCTTTTTTGCCATCGTTTCTTGACATTTTATCTTTGTGTTTGACGTTTTACCGTGATTACGCCCGGCTTATCAACTAACGCCGTGAAATGAATCTTTATTGGTCTTCAAACATATAGTATACATAGTATGTCTTTCATTCGAACAGCCGCTAAAGAAAATCTGAAGATTTTTGTAGATTATTATCTTTACTTTTCACATTAAAAATATTACTTTATAGTTTAAAAATAAAGGTTTCAAATTAAAAATTTAGTTTTATTTTACAAATAAAGTTATTTTCTTAATTTTACATTTGTAATGTAAATCGTTGTAAATAATTGTTCAAGCCATCATTGTTAAATATGAAATTATAAAAATCGAAAAATATGTACTTGATCATAAATATATAAAAAAAATTCCACCAATCAAAAGCATGAACTGTCTTTTTAAGTTTATGTATGCATCTACATGTGTGTATATATTATTATATCTGTGTTATTCTTATATGTAGGTTTATTGTTCTTCTTCAGAATACAATAGTTTTGCAATTCAGTATATTTTTTTAAGTTTACTATCTTTATGATTCTTTGTTCTTTTTCTCCGAATTCAAATTTGTTTGTTAGATATTTATATTTCACGAATAGGAGGATGGATTTTATACTCATGAAAACTTAAAGTGATATCGTATTTTTATATTGTTTTACATGTAATAAGTGTATATACTTTTTCTACGACTTTACGTTATGAGCTTTTTAAAACTTGTGAGTAAATATCACACACCGAAAATTGTATGGTACCAGACTGATACTACAGTCATCGTACGTATTTTACTATGTGATATAAAGGAATATTTTCTTCATGTTGAATGTGATCACATATTATTTAGGTATTTTAAATATCTGATATCTAATATAAAATATTGCTTGCAAGATTATATAAAAAATGCCTATATCGGTTTCTAGCACAATAACAAACTCAAAAAAATATTATATTTGCTCATATTTTTTTGGAACTGTAATAGCAAAAAAAACAACCCATAGAAATGTAGGAAGAGAAGTTAAGATTACACTTGTAAAAGCACATAAAGGTAAAATAAATATTCTTTTTATTTATTTGTTATATTATTTTTATTATGTATTTATATAATTTTTATCAAAATAATAGGGACAGAATGGTTAAGATTATTTATCGCAATGGAAAAGAATCCTTTAATCAGCGTAGATCCAGATCATATATATAAAAAGGACTGGATCCTTGAGTCTTTCAAAAATATAGGTAATTATAACACATACCATTTAATTAATAATAAACAGTTTTTTATGTTTATTCATATAACTGTTTTATATATATATTTATATATATAATTGTTTATATAAAGAAGAGAATATTAACGATTAATGTTTGACAGTAATATTTAGTAAATCTTTATTGATGATCACGTTATGCAGAGTCTAACAAAAGTTATTTTATCACAGAAAGGGAGAGTTTTGCAGAATATAAACGTAGAAATAATATAACTCAAATAATGCCACTCGTGCCATCGAGTGATGAAGAAGAATCTGATGATGAAATAATGGATGCGTTATTTCTTTAAACTACTTATATATAACATATATATAATAAACATATGTGATCAAAGTGTGATATTTGTAATACGTAAATATATCTTTAAATAAAGGAACAGCATATTAGTTAAATTTGTTTCTTAAATTTTTACATATATGCATTGTTTATTGACTGAGCTGTAATATTGCATGCGATGATACATAATACTCTGATGTACATTATACATAAAGATATCATTTTGGCGCTGTGAAGTCTGTCGCATAAATATAAAAATGAGAATAAGAATGGCATATTACACTTACATATTTCATATAGTATCATCTAGGTAAAAATTCATACTGAACGTAATGTTTGAATGATTTTGAAATAAATAATAAATGTAAATGAATTATTATTAATATCAACTGCATTCATTATTATAAGTGAGAAAAAGATCATGCTCCATACTTGAATAAGATAGAATACTTGTGTCTCGAATATTTTAGCATGTATTCATTTTGTATAAGTGCAGTATAAAATGCGAGGCTGAATGAAGACAAATGAACAATGTTTACATAGCATATTATTTCTTTGTATATAAAATTTGTTGTATTTGTTATCCATGATTAATTTGCAAGAAGTAACACTTAAATAATTACAATAGTGGAATGTTTTCACGCTATGTTGGTAATATAAAACGTAAAGTATAACTGTACTGAAACAAATACATATTCATACTGGTCACAGGGTTATCAGTAGCGATATTATTCTTATCTTTGGCAATGGACTCTTTGTATTTTATATAATGTTTATAAGCGATTATTTTTTTATAAGAGATTATAAAAAAATATTGTTTATATTTGATAGTAAGGAGATGATGTAAATAGATCTATAACGTAAAATAACATAACCAAATATGTTTCTCCAAAAGTTTCTTAATTAAAACTGTATATATTCTAATAATTTATTAATAAAGAGGACATTATTATTAGTGCCTTCATACTATCATATCGTAATGTTTCATGGAATATATTAGGAATTGGAACATTTTCATCATACTACTTTTAAATGCTACAAATAGTTTGTCATTATATCATTACAACTACTTTGTAGTATATAAACAATTTGGTAACGTTGAAATAATAGTAATATATTAAAACTCATTTTTATAATAAAATAATTATATTTAGCCTTTTTAGTACCGAACAATGATATATCGTTGTGTATGCGATGGTGCCTTACTAATCGCGTCGCGAGAGAACTTTATCTCAAAATAAATTGATAAAACGTTATAAATGGTTGAATTTTTCTGCAGAAGCACTGTGTGAGATGTTTCACAAATCGAAAAAATTGTTTATGGAATTAACTTTTTGTTATATTTCGCGATGATTGATACCGAGACTGTATACGCTAATACCATAAAATAAAAATTCGATACGGGAGATTTGCTTGAGACTGTCATAGATTTTGAATAACACTGTTTAGAACAGAATATCTCCTTATGTTTCACAAAATAAAAATAATCTTGCGTCGACAGAGCAACAATAAAATTTTTTGTGGGCTTACGCGGAGATCACGCACAATTTGTAATATATGCAATAAAGGATTACACGATGTATACATTAGTAACCATAAATGCTAAGTAAATTATTTGTATGAGTAATAATAAGTAAATATCACACATTTTCAATAGCCGGATAACTATAAATATTTATAATAATATTAGAATGTTATTTTAGTGATGTTATACCAGCTCACTTGTTTTGGAGCAAGTAATCCTCCTACGCATCATGGGATTATCATTTAGCTTTGTTTTTGATGTTAGAAATTTTGCTACAAATAATTGAGAATGCAGTATTGATGCTTTATACTACGTATTCCACATCAAACTATGACCAATCGATTATTCTTCTTATTTGCAAATACTGTTTACAAAAAAAACTGATTTTTGCACTTTTCCTATTAATTTTGAATAAGAATTATTCGTATGATTTTCAAAAAATAGTGAAATACAATTGGCATTAATTTGTTCCCCCTTTATTTTGTAATATGTTCCGTTTTGAATTTTGTAAATATCATTCTTACTTTCCTTTTTATGATTTTTTTCTCAAACTATAAATTACATCAAATTGATTTGCTACTTTTCGCTTAGGTACAATTCTTTCGGTCGGCACTAAAAGGGTTAAACATCTTGTTCTAAATTCTTGTACTAAAAGCATATTGAGATTAATATCTACATATAATCTATACAATATACATATTACAAGAAATAAAATTATATAAAGAATCACTCCTACATTCATGTGTGTTTTGAATTGAAATATACAAAATAATGTAAATGCGAAAGAGATTGAAGAAATATTATTACATTATAAATTCAATTATCTTTTACTCATAATATCAGCTTTCATAAAACTCATACAATAGTTGCACTGATGTGCATAAATATGGACAGACAACTTGCAACAAATACAAAAGGATAAAGATTGTTAGAACATTTTATATATATTTGACACTGCTATATAGTGCTTATGTTTATGATGCATGATTAACAACCTTCTAGAGAAAGTCTTTGATTTATATTTTCGACTCTTACTTTCATTTCCCTGAGTATATCTTCAGCGAGGTTATCAACAGTAGTATATCTTACTTTAAAGAAATTAAATATATCTACAAGGAATTCTATTACTTGATCTCTGAAATAGTGGCAGGTAGAACGTAGACTTCCTTCTGGGCCTAGGAAACCCCACACAAGCACTGGAGAAATTTGTTCAGAAATCGAGTAAAAATGGGCTAGAAATCCTTTATCATATTTCAGCATTTGTCTTTTACCCATAAGAACTGACCAAACTGCAGTTCCAATGGCCTTGAATATAAAATTAATAGACATCAATAAGAAATTAAACTAAAAAAGCATTTACTATTTTAAGTACCTACAGTTTCACGAAAACTAGCGGATATCCATCTGTTTTGTAAAATAGCTTTAATTGATGAAGGCGGTTTTTCAACTTCTTCGAAAGCATCTAATAAAATAAAGTCAATCAGAACATCGTAGAAATTTATACATTTGACGCCTCTTCCGGTTAATTCCTCCTCCATCATACTATGGTTGCTTGGCTCTTGTAAAAATTCTAACATTCGTTCGTAATGCATTAGATAATCTTTGGGATCCTAATATTGAAAATAAAAAATCACTTATTAAAAACCAATTTAAACTATTTTAAGATATACATATTTATATCTTTTTCAAGTAGAAGAAAATGATGTATGTTGTGTATACCCTGTCTGCATACATGATCAAATCACTAATGACTTGTCTGCCTATGTCCGCGATCCATTCTGTGGCAGAAGATATAGTGAACAATTTTGTATACGCTTGTCGCAAGCAATGTACCTTTGCTAAATATTCAATGTCCGAGCCACACTTTACTAACTCTGTATGCAAACGTCTATAATAAAAATATAAATTATAATAAATTTATACAAAGCATATAAATTTCTACATTTTTAAATATATCGTAAAAATTAAACAAAATTTACCTGCACAAAATGCGTTTGTCTTCGTGTTGTTTGAGTGCAGCGTGATATAATTTTTGCTTTTCAAAGTGCGGGAAAAATTCGGAGAATTCTTCAAATTCCCGTAAATCTGCTACCTATATTAATATTATATATATGTGTAAGTAAAAAAAAAAATAAAATAATTTAATATCTATGTAAAAATATCGAATAAAATAATATGATATGCAAATAAGAAAAATATATAAATAAAATCTAAACTTACTCCATCACGTGCAGATTCAAAAGATTCCGGAGAAGACGCAGCATCTGCTTTATCCTTACCGGATATCCTACTACCTATGTTCGAAGGTTTGTGGCTATCTATACTTTCCTCATCTTCATTCCGGAACAATACTGAATGCTGCAAAAACGTGAACTTACTACTTTCCTATAATTTATTTTTATATTGTACGCGACATTAGAATTCAATTATTGATAAGATTACCCATTAAAATGTAGTTAATATAATTGTAAGATCATTTTATGTGCTTAGATTTGAATGAACGCAGTAGCGATGCCGTGAACTTCCTATGCAATAATTCTTCCTTGCTTGTTGTTAGGTCAAGTAACTCATTGCACTAATTACTCTAGTCAGTTATCATTTAAATTGGATTAATTCTTGCATTTTTTTATATGGCGAAAAAGCAATTGATGAGTGCAGTGGAATGGAATGGTATAGAATGACATAGAAAAGATTTCAGAAGTATAAAATTTTCAGTGTCATCAGCAAACCTGTCTTAACAATTTCTAAAAGAATCTTTAATAATATATTCTAAAATGAGAATACTTATAATTAAACATTTCCAAAATATTTTATAATAAACATATTTTATTTTCAACAACAAAATAAATTTCAGGACTTTCTACAGCTACCAGCAAAATTGCATCAATAATACTTGAAATAATTTTTATAGTATACTGTAGAATGAGTATAATTAGATATTTATAAAATATCCTGTAATAGACAGCCATTTTTCCATTCTCAATGATAAAATAACATCAGAGATAAGTGAGATTTATTTGAGTAATGAAACGGCAGGAAAATACAGTACAGATAGAACAGATATAGTTACCTGGTCGATAAAAAGGAGTTCTGCATGGTTCTGAATTTGATAACCCATGTCAAGGAGTTCTTGCACATCTTGCGTAAATGCCGCATCCGCTGCCGACGGTAATGCGAGTGTACCATTACTGAATGAAGAGCTGAACGCCGTAAGAGCATCCTCCCAGCAATAGAGAGCTTTTTCCAGAGCCTCCAATCCTGCATCATTAAGTTACATCGTTTTACATTTGTCAATTTTCATTCTCCTCTTCGGAGTGTACCACGCAAATGACGAATTCGAACTCGTTTAATTCGTTCTGAGAAACACTTCTACACAATACTCGAAAGAGGTCCACGCATGTACAGTTGCAAATTGCAAAAAATATACTTTATATTCGCGATATTATTAATTAGCAAATACTTTTAATTTTTATTTTATTGACACACATTAGACTAAACTGCAGATATTTATTTACAGAAAATTTAAATGTACATAATTTGTACATAATAAAACATTCTTTATAATATTCGAAGAATGAAATAAATTATTATCTAGTTTCTGTTTCTTTGAATATATTCATAAAAATATTAGTTTGTATAAACATCCGTAGTTTAATTTACGATCGAAGCAAAGACAAAAGGTATAGGATAAATTAATACTTTTAGAATCAATCGATTACTTCTATCGCTGTGCTGTTAAAATTTAGAACATTGCTTTATCTACAGTCTATGCTGCAAACACATTTTCTTTGAGTTATTGTAATTATCAACTTAATAATCTTTGCTCGGTTACAAGTTACAAGGTTTCATACTAATAAATCTTCTTGCATTATAGTTTGCATTAATGAAACAAATGAAAGTTTAGAAATTAAAAGTTATTAAATTATTCAATTTAATGCAAGTTGTAAAATTGTGAGTAAACGTTCTATAATCTTGTAACTTACTGAATATTATTACATAGTTCGTAAATTATTATGCAAGAGGCAAGTGCAAAAATAAATAATAAAGAAAGATATATATATATTAAGCAGAACCTTTGAATTCTATAGTGATAAATAATAAAATTCGATATAAATATATGCATAAATGAATAAAGTAAAAAAAATTGCAGGTGACACGACATAATTTATATTAATATAAAATATATTAGAATCATAAATAAAGAAATATTATCTCTAAGAAAATGGAAATCTGACGAATTAATTTGTCTCTCCCGCTTAACAGACTTAAGTAATCATTGAGAAACAACTGTACAATTTAGAAAATATAATCTTCTAGAAACACGAACGGGATGAAGAGCAACTAGTTCGGATTAGAAAGATGCAGATAGCGAAATGCATGTTTTCAGACAACCAGGAAATGCTTTGACGGAAAGAAGCTTCAGACGAGCGTCGCGACTCTGGTACTTGGCATTCGCACAAGAGGCAAAGGTAAGTTCAACGACTGATTTTGCAACGGCAGAAAATTTACAGATGAGAGACCCTGTTGGTCGGCGTGTCAACCAGTCAGCAAAGAGTAAGGGGTTGAGAGCACCTACTTAACGTTGTCACACTGTCGCAGGATTTAAATTCCGAGTCGGTGACGACATTCTCCGTATTCAACGTTTTGCCAGTCATAAATCGGCGCGCATACGCCGAAATTCGTCACGAGAGCGGAAACCGTATACGCGCCATCACCAATTAAGACGGGTACCCATGTCCAAAAGGTGCTGGCATTATTTTCAATCTGAGACAAGAATAAACTTTGTATCTACATCAATGGCTGTCTATAAAGTTCATTATAATACTGCTATGGGTATAAATATTGTATCAATTTACGTTAACAAGCCGAATAGTTTGAAGTAATTCTTACTAACATATATACAGTCGAGGACAAAAATAAATGGACAAGTAGTAGAAGTAGATATCAAGAAGTTTAATCGAAGCAGTACTAGTGTTTATATACACTTTAGTTTTATTTATTATATATCTTTATAGTACATCGATTATTTATGCTAGTAAATAATTGAAATTAATTATTTCCATTTTTATGTTAACAAGTCGTATTCAACGAAACTTCATTAATACCTATTTCCACTACCTGTTTGCTTATTTTTCTCCCACACTGTATATGTATATATATATATATATATATATATACTTGTATCGAATGAAATTTACGTACATAGAAATTACGTGGATACTTGAGTATAAATAATATACCTGATATAGCGAAGGCATCAATGAATAGATCCGTTATTAAGGCTTATTTTAACTGCTTTAGCCTCGGATAAAGGGAATAGATATAGAGGAAAAAATATATGCAACAGAGGGAGTAATGTTGGGGTGTCTTCCAGTGACGTATCTATGCAAGCATAAATTTGATTCATTCATGTGAATTTCATCAGCTTTCGTATAAAAAAGATGAATTTTGTTATTGGAAAACATAACAAATAACTTAAACAGTTCTCTATAAAATATTTTAGCTGTGAAAAATTATATATAAAATTACAAAATTCAAACATTACACGAACATTTGTAGCTTTTATTTTTAAACTGTATTCTCACGGAAGATAAGTATCGGCGTTTCGTTAATTTTAATTTCTTTCATCATTGGTCAAATGACGTACTGATACTAATATTATAATTAATAACTTAATTGCTAATTGTAAAGAATTGCCTAATTATACGTATGTTCATAGTATATACAAATTCAAATCACACTTCCAAAATGTATGAACTATTAAAAAGGGAAACTGGAATATAATTTTGAATCCACCTTTTCTTCATCATTATTCGCTAATTCTAAGTTTCATCCCTATCAGATACCAGTGATACATCTTTATACATATTATATTACCTATAAAACTCACTGACAAAGTCATACGAAAAACCTAGGATATTCTGTATATGCAATGTAAAAGCGGAAAATTCAACAGAAAATTCGTGAATCGAAGAGAAAGATAACCTAGTAAACGGCTCAAATGGTACAAACCATGGTACTCAGATTCGCGGCAAGTGGAAGTGAAATATCCTTTATTTAACGAAGATAGAGATTTCGTACGACTGTTGGACGAGGAGAGGTTTTCGTGCGGCTGGCTACCCCTTGAGAATTCTCGCAACCCCCATTAGAGGAAAAGATACACCCTGAAGAATCCAGCACTGGCGATGCTGCCGGATGGTTGGCGTCAATAATACCAAAGTGACGTAATCCTTTTGGAGGTTCGTTATTGGAGGATGTGTCATCCAATGGGGAGGGGTCGATACGGCAGCTGGGAGGCGCGCGCGGTCTCAAAGTGTGCTCCAGGCACGCGTTGCGGCACCGAGGTTCGGCGCGCTAGTAGTGCACTGCTGGAATCACCACGACGAGGTAGGTTACAGAGAGGCGATATAAAGAAGAGAAAGAGAGAACGCGAAAGCAACGGGTGATAGAAAAGGATCAAGTTAGATCGAGTGAGCGCGCAGAGAAAGAAGGAAGGGTGGGACACACACTCTGTAGTCCTCGCGCTAGCGTCAGTTATTCGGCTTGCCGCTTGCTTGGCGGGTGTAGTGCGCTTGTATATTCTTCAACGATTGCTACGGCAGGCCGTTGACACGCGAATATTTTTTAACGTATCAAATACATAAATATTCCATAACGCATTGTCGTTCTGTTACGCGACAACAGAATAAAACTTTGGACAACACCTAGTGCCATACCGCGTAATCCCCGTCCCCTTGATGCCATTTGGACTCGCTCGCATTATTTGGATTAAGATAATGCAATAGTAAGTACGACTGTTTCCTTCTCTACGATTATTGAACGCTCCTGGCTAGGGGTTTCTTTGAAAAATGCCTCACTGTAACAACATTATGCATTCTAAGGGATCTCGAGTCTTCTCGTCAATACTAGATAATTTGTAATTTTTTGATAAAAATTATATAAATTTATCACCTTGAAAAATTTTCTATGGTTTTTCGTAAAGTATATGGATAAAGACTTGGATTTATCCTTACGTTATGTACTTTCTCGTACGTCTTTCATTTTGTTCTCTTCGAACCTTTATATTTCAGTCGTCTGAATGTAGTGCTAAAATGTGACTGTTATATTTCTTCCAAATAGCATTAAATAGTATTACTATTACTATTACAAAAGTATCGTACTTGTATTATAATATTTCCCTAAATAAGAAGTTGATAGTTGTCGACTTTCGGCTAGGAAATTAATCGATGCGAGTGAACAGCGTAGTAGGGGAAATGAAAGATTTCAAAATATTGCGTGATTTCCGATAGGATAAACGACACCGCGAACATCTAGGGATATTATAACGTTCGGTATCTTTTTAAAAGAGGAACTAGTCTGTCTCTGTAATTGTTCAAGATCAGGTATATCTTCGGTATAGGTCAAGTTCAGGGGTCAATACCTTGTATCCGTTGAATCTCGAATAAAAGTGAATGCCGTAAATGTAGCAATAGCACCGCGTACCAGCAGATCGATGGAGGTGCCTGGTGCGCTGGTGAACTTGGAAATTTCCCTAGCACACGCGCACTTCCTGCACCCGTGATATTTGCGTATCCGTTATATACACCTTGCCCTATACGAACTTCTCTGTACACATATGTGCTTCTATTAAATCTTAAAGTACAGCAGGCGTCTCGGAACACGATGCATAGAGAGTATTTGACGAGTGACTCACCGCAATTTAGGCGTATTGTGTGCAAAATGTGAAGGATGTTAATCCGGCCGAGTAACTTCCTCATATCCTGGCATACGGAATAATGAAATCGAAACGAATTTCTGTGAAGGATTAAATATACGGTGAAACCGAAATTGCTAGAGTGAAATCAATGAACGTGAAAGAGGTCCATTCACATTTATATGCTAACCTAATCTAAAAAGGGCCAACATTGCGTTAACGTTGTTGCGATGATGAAATCTTGTTAAAATGTTTCTCACCTCCGATGTTTTTAGTTGTTACTTAAATATTTCTTTCTCTTACAGTTTAGAAAATTTTGAAGAAATTTAGAAACTTACACGACCATAATAGTTACTTTTTTTTCTTACATTTTAAATATTTTGTTTGTTTCTGATTTGTATAACGAGCGTCTGCAAGATATCTATTATAGCAATAGACTTTTATACCTTGATGAGAGAATATGTAAATTACTTGACATTTTTCAATAATTATGCGTTTACGCAACTTTCATGCATTATTTCCATACTTGATCCTTAGCGGGTTAATGTGAAGGACTAGAATTTATTCATTTTATTTATGTTATGAGAATTTAATTTTATTGCAATGAGGTTGACTTGTGAGAAAAAATCGAAGAACTTGTACAAAAATAACAAGTAATTTTGCTATTTTGCAATTCGATTGCAATTGATAATAATGGCTTTCAATAATGGTCGTACGATTTCGATTGGAACAGTTTGCTGGAATTTTCCACGTTTTAACACTTTCGTATCACTTTTCATCATGAAAAAGAGAGAATAATAGCGCTCCATATCATAATGCTGATAATACACGTGCATAATCGAATAATACCTACGCTCGGTTAAGTTAATGAAGATGCACACCGTCGAATGTTGAAAGGAGCATGATTGCGAGTTTGATGAATAATATCCTGATAATATTAACATGCCAAAGATTTACTACATTTTCTCGATCGATCACTTTCATGACGAATATTATTGTATCGTTTGATATTACCAGTCATTGGAAATGAAATTACTATTAAACAAACAGAGATGTTCCTTTAATTTACTATTCAAGCAATAGAAGATCGAATTTACTACTACTACTATCTATGTATAATTGTCAAAAATTTAGCATTGCTTTCTTTCTATGTCGTTAGAAAATTTAATGTTACTATTGTTTTTAATTTGCTATTTAAATATTTCCGCAATTTACTATGCAGCCAGCGCAAATGAAGAAATATACTAAACTTAACACTGTCACAATATCTCTACGATTGTCAAAAATTTAGTATTGCTAATATTTTTCTATAATTGCTAACAATTTACTGTCTCCCCATAATAGAATATTTCTCAGCAATTGTGGAATTCTGTTTGAAACTTCTATTGAAACTATTAATTTGTTCGTGACATGGAAACGTGTTGAATCTCTGCCAAAGCAGCGACTGAACATTGCGAAAATAGGGGTGATGTAAATGGAAGAACCGGCATTCGAAAAAAAAAATCCATTACAATGGAACAGACTGATAGAACGAAACACAAACTGATGTTCCGAAGCAGCGACCCAGTTACATAGGCACCACCTATAGGCAACGACCTGATAGTACCTCCTATACTGACAATTTCTTAGATCTGATTTCATGTCTACGTGTAAACAAATTCTTAACGATCGTTTCATAATAACGACTATAAAAACAAAGTAGTTAGAAAAAAGGGAGATGAACAGAGGACGAAATTATTCAGAAGCCGAACGGAATCTTGAAGAATTGAGCAACTGTGACTGAACAGAAGTGAAATCAATCACTCAATCAATCGATTAAAAAATATTCCACTTTTTTACGTCCGACTTAAAAATAATTAAAAAAGTAATAAGCAAAAAGTTAAATTAAGAAAATAAATCGACCATTCGAACAATCTTATCCAGTTTAAAAGAACCTTATGAAATTTTTGATTCCACATATTGTTATTTGTTAGATTAAAAGGCTGAAGCGAAGAAGAAAGTAAAAGTGGAAATTATTAATAAACCAGGTGAAACCTTCGGAAGTTGATCATGCGAGGAACCCGTGTACGCAATTACGTCACTTTTTAAAATTTCACGTATTTCGTGTTTCGAAGAGGTCTGAGATGGAACAAAATTTAGAAAATAGGATCGAAGGGGGCTTTGAAAGGGAGGAGACAGAATTATTAATAAACCAGACTATTAAAAATCGATCATGCAAGACGTTCGCGTGACACGCGTGATGACCTGTCGATACGACAAAAATTTCACTACAGATCACTAACAAGATACATGATATGATCGTGTCGGTTATTAGGTAATAGTGGATCCCCTGTCGAGGATGCTTTGACCCTGATGAGGCTAATAAAAGTGACATCATTATCGCTTGCCGCAACGAGCTTTTAACCTACGTGGTTCGCTCTGATTTTCATAATCTGGTTCGCATCATCGTGGATGCTCTACCCCCCATTAGTCGTTGTCTCTTGAGTTAGCGCCGCAGTATGACAAATAGAGAAAGTTTACTCTTCTTTCTTTTCACATTCTTCTCACTTAAGTTCTGGAGGAAGGCTATCGTTCGATAATATTTCACAAAATCAAATATTCATATAACTGTTTCGCAATTAATTCATTAAGGGGATTAAACAATGAAATAATGTGTAAAAATTGCATAAATGCAACCAGAAGGCCATAGTACCATAATTTGAAGAGGAAATAGTTTATCACAGCTCTATGAAATCATTCAAGTTTTTTAAACTTTACAAAATTATAAAGTCCAAATGGAAAAAGAAACAATAACGAATAAATATCGAGCAAATTAGAATTCTTTATCATAATATGAATTCACTAATGTGAATTAACTAAAATGAAATTGTAAAATAAATGTCTTAACGGAACGTTGGTCCTTGATTGGTTAAAAAAAAGGATATTTAATATTTCTGATTATTCATCTTTCAACAGAAAATTTGTTTTCAATTAGGTTACATTCTATTTTTTAACATTGTCAAGTAAGGGTTGTCTATAAATCACAGTCGATCGTTTCATCGACAATGTTTTCATTGACACGATTTCACTGACACCGAGTTCATCGTCGATGTTTATTTATCAAGACGCTGAAACCATCGACCATCATTTCACTGATATCATCTCTCGCCAGCAATTATTACCTTCACCGCCATATGCTATCATCGAATATGCGTCTGTATCCGAACATTCATCTTCGCGCATAAAAGAATAAAGCAGAAAAGGAGAATGATAAAAGTTACTACGAAATATTGTTACTTCAACAGTAACATAAATTATACGTCGCCTCCGATTTCCATAATTTTTTAATACGTTGTCGAAATCATTATCATGAATTGTGTTGTGGTTTTAATGCGGCGTATGCATAGCAAATCAAACGCGTGGGCGAAGAAGGGGCTCTGCCCCGTAGAAAATCTAACTTCACCCACGTTCATTTCTATCTAAAATAAAATTTGATTTAGATTAGCTTAAATCCTTTCGCGCTGAGGGATTCAGACTCTGTCCCTTTCTCGCCCACGCTTTTGCTTCATAATACACGTACGTACATAATTCTCTAAATACACGTGCATGTATGTTCACTAACGTTTGTGAGTCACGTTTTCCGTCAAAAAGTCGTAAGAAGCGAGTTCTGTCGAAGTTACAAGAAATATCAGTAGCATAGATTTCAGTAAGAAACAGGAGCGAATTTAGCCAAGGGTATATAATCAACGATAATACGTGTCTACAAATACAATGATAATTGTCGACAGGAGACGATGTCGAGGAAATGTTTGCCGGTAATTTTATGGTAACCTGTGAAACAGAATGCCAAATACTTGTACTTAATACCTTCTTCATCGTTATTTCTTCAACCTAGATTTTACTTGGTCCTTAATGGGTTAAGATGTGAATTAGACGAACGGTATGACAGCATGGGTAAAAGATGTGGGCGCGGAGGGGTTAATCGACGTTGTTCATGGATAAAAATATCCAGTATCACTTTACGTGAAAGCAGTATTAATATTGTTAACTTATCCTTGCGTACACGTAGATAGATAAGCGTTGGAGAGATTGTGGAATAGGAAGAGGGTAAA